CCCTATTCTGAGATCTGCATCAGAGTTACTCAGGCTTTTTGAACATATAGATCTTTAGACCTTACCTCCATATGTGGGGAAATTACAGAAATTCATTTAAACAATTTTCCTTCTGTCAACCACCAGGTGGTAGAATTGGCCCAGAACAGCTTGGTTGTACTACTGGAAAGATGGCATCCATTTCTATATACCAGACACTAGTTGAATGTTCATACTTCAGAAGGACGTTTGTCCTAAATAAGAATTCCATTTCAGCTAAATCAACTTATTTCTATCTCAGCCCCATTTTATTTGAACCAGAGGGTCTACCATGGTGATTTTCAGAGTTTAGAGTACAGTCATCCCTTGGTATCTATGGGACATTGCTTTCAGGATCTCTGTGGATACCAAAATCTATGGATGCTCAAGTTCCTTATATAAAATCATGTAGTATTTGCATATAACCTACAGATATCCTTCCGTATATTTTGAGTCATCTCTAGATTACTTGCAGCACCTAATCCAATGTAAATAGTTGTTATACTGTATCGTTAAGGAGATGATGACAAGAGTTGGTACATGTTCAGTACAAACTGTCCTTTTTTTTTTTTCTCCTAATTATTTTGGACCCACAATTGTTTGAATCTGTGGATTTGGATTCCACTGATATAGAGGGCCAACTATATTTCAAAATTTCTTGAGATACACGTGAAAAAATGTATATTCCGGGATTTCACTTTCAGGATTTTGAATCCTTGGATCTCAACAGGGATTCTACATTTTTGACAGAGAGCCTCAGTTCTTATGCAGATGACTAGTGTATTACATTTTGAAATATGCTAATTTCAGTTTGCTACTGATAATACCCATGAAGGATACCTTTTTTTTTTCCCTTTGGAGGAAAGTGGGAGTTGAGAAGGTTGATTGTCTGCTTTTTGTGGTTGCCTAGGTATAGTTTGCCCCTGAAAGTCTGGTAACAAGGATAAGCTATATACCATTTAGATCAGACAACTAGGACTATACTTTAGAGGGCCTAGCTACGGCTTTCTTCTACCCAAAGCCCTTTCCACAGAATGAGGACTTTCAGAAGACATGCCTGCCTGAAATTCATGCAGCCCCTTCTAGAACATACTCTGGGTACTCAGTACCCTGAAATTCCTTCCCCAAATGCCCACTTCCAGGCCCAGTACAGGACTCTCCCTCATCAGAACCAGTGTGCACACACCTAAGTCTAAGGAACATATAACTCAGGGATAGCTTATAATTGCTCACCTTCACCGTTTTTTCTCTCCACCAATAAATTCCTGCCGGGCGCGGTGGCTCACGTCTGTAATCCCAGCACTTTGGGAGTCCCAGGTGGGTGGATCACAAGGTCAAGAGATCGAGACCCTCCTGGTCAACATGGTGAAACCCCGTCTCTACTAAAAATACAAAAAATTAGCTGGGCATAGAGGCGCATGCCTGTAATCCCAGCTACTGAGGAGGCTGAGGCAGGAGAATTGCCTGAACCCAGGAGGTGGAGGTTGCGGTGAGCCAAGATTGCGCCATTGCACTCCAGCCTAAGTAACAAGAGTGGAACTCCATCTCAAAAATAAATAAATAAATAAATTCCTTTACCTTTGCTATTCCATATTAACAGCTCTCAATGAGATTCCTTTGATGTTGAGGAAATTACCCTTCAATCTATAATTTTCTATAGTTACATCTGATGTTGAGGCTGCAGTGTTTTAATTGCAATACATTTTGTTAGAGCAAAGGAAAGCTTCAGCTTTCCAAACAATTGGGAAGTTGTGGTTCTTCTGCCATACTCCTCCTTTATAACAGCCAGGAAGAAGGAAGACACATGTTCCATATGATTTCTTCAAAAAGGTAGGGGGAAAAAGAGAAAGGAAGAGATTAACTGACTTAATTTAACACTTGGAGCTATAAATCGTGTGTTGCAATATGGCGATAGGATGTTGCATCAGAACGTGGCAGTTGTAACAATGCAGTGGGCATCATAACCTTGAGGAGGCCTGCCCTTTTTCTAAAGATTCAGCTCCAAGTGTAGATCCCTCTGTTCTGCCAAGGAGAAGGGTATTATTTAAATTACATTGTACCTCACTATAAATTTGTCCACTTGGTCTATGGCACAGGAATTCCTTTATACTTGAAGATCTGCTTGGGCCAGACATCATTGTACTGAGTCCCGGCATTCCTGTTGATTCTTGTTATCATATACAAGCAGGGAAGTGCTGAGGTTTCTTCACTTCTTCCTGGAAGTCTTTCAGGAAAGGTGGGAGGTATTATGGCGAGGCTGTAATGTCTTTATTCTCAGAGCCGTTAGTTTTGAAAGTGTATGTAATATTTCCTGAATATTTCACACTGCCTTTATCTAAAGAATTGAAAGTTTGTGACTAGGAGTTTGTCCCTGAGAAACAAGGATAAGGATGGGAGATGTGGAGCATATTTTAGCAAGATTTTTAATAGGGTAGATAATTTGGTAGCTAATTCTTGGTTTTGGTTTTGTTTTTTTACTCTTTGGCTTTGTTGTAGGAGAAAATTCATGGTGTATGAGAGAAAAGAAGTGACAGAATGTCAAAATCAAACTTTATATTTAAAACATTGGCCGGGTGCAGTGGCGTATGCCTGTAATCTCAGCACTTTGGGAGGCTGAGGCGGGCAGGTCACCTGAGGTCAGGAGTTCAAGACCAGTCTGACCAACAAGGAGAAACCCCATCTCTACTAAAAACACAAAGTTAGCTGGGCATGATGACACATGCCTGTAATCCCAGCTACTCAGGAGACTGAGGCAGGAGAATCACTTGAACCCAGGAGGCAAAGGTTGTGGTGAGCCCAGATCACACCACTGCACTCCAGCCTGGGCAACAAGAGTGAAACTCCATCTCAAACAAAAAAACAAACTCTTGAGGCCAGGACTGATGAGTTCATTGTATGTGAGTAGAAGTGATACTGTCATGGTTGTGGGTTTGGGATTTTGAGGAAACTGGAGCAAAGAAGTTAGAGATGATGAAAATAAATCAGTTTTAATCCTGATAAAACTGGTTTTGGAAAATGTGGTTTAGATTTAAATGTGGCAACAATTTTTTCAATGCTAAACTCTAGAATTAGTCAGACTTGCCCACCCAGTAATAGGTAGCTTTTGACCTCCTTAAGCCTCCCCATATGAGGGTCTTGCACTATAACTCCAGGGATTGAGGACTAGAGCCTGATTCTAAGAGATTAAAGGAAAAGAGTTGAGCTATGCATACCATTCCTCTCTCATCCTCCGCAGTAAGAGAAGCCCCTTCTACCCAGGGGAAGTCGAGGACAGAAGGCAGAAATGTTAAACAGGACTGGCATTCCCCCCAGGTAGAAGGAAACCTCATGAGTGGGAAGCAGCATTTCTGTCCCACTGTGAGTGATACGGATAATGGTGGCCTTTGGGCTAGTATAACAGGATGGAGACTCTTAGCAAAGTTTTAATGAGTTGTAAATCATTTTCATCATTTGCAGAACTATGGAAACATGCTCTCAAGGTAATGTGTGTGATAGTATGGTTTTTTTTTTTTTTTTTTTTTTTTTTTTTTTTTTTGAGATGGAGTTTCGCCCTTGTTACCCAGGCTGGAGTGCAATGGCGCGATCTCGGCTCACCGCAACCTCCGCCTCCTGGGCTCAGGCAATTCTCCTGCCTCAGCCTCCTGAGTAGCTGGGATTACAGGCACGTGCCACCATGCCCAGCTAATTTTTTGCACTTTTAGTAGAGACGGGGTTTCACCATGTTGACCAGGATGGTCTCGATCTCTCGACCTCGTGATCCACCCGCCTCGGCCTCCCAAAGTGCTGGGATTACAGGCTTGAGCCACCGCGCCCGGCAATAGTATGGTTTTTAAGTTCATCTCTTCTAGAAATCACAGTAAAATATTTACAGATAAACTGATAGGATGTCTGGTGTTTACCTCAAAATTTTCCAGGAACAAGAGGGGTATAATGTAACAACATTGTCTATGATGGGTGTTACTTGTAGAAATTAGGTGATAGGAACATGGAGTCCATTATATTATCTCTAGTATAATGAAGATTCAGGTTGAATCTAAACTCTGCTACTAGCTCTTTGTCCTTAGCAAGTTACTTTTCCTGACTCTCCATTTCCTGATCTGTATAACGAGAAAAATAAATACTGAAATCTACCACATAGGACTGTTGTTATGATTCAATTAAAATAAGTTATAGGCAGGGTGTGGTGGCTCACACCTGTAATCCCAGCACTTTGAGAGACTGAGCCAGACAGATTGCTTGAGTCCAGGACTTTGAGAACAGCCTGGCCAATATGGTGAAACACCACATCTTAAAAAAATCCAAAAACTTAGCCAGGCATGGCGGCACATGCCTGCAGTCCCAGCTACTCAGGAAGCTGAGGTGGGAGAATTGCTTGAGTCCAGGAGGTGGAAGTTGCAGTGAGCCCGAATCACGCCACTGCACTCCAGCCTAGGTAACAAAGTGAGACCTTGTCTCAAAAAAATAAAAGTGGCCGGACATGGTGGCTCACACCTGTAATCCCAGCACTTTGGGAAGCCGAGGCAGGCGGATCACGAGATCAGGAGATCGAGACCATCCTGGCCAACACGGTGAAACCCTGTCTCTACTCAAAATACAAAAAAATTAGCCGGGCATGGTGGCACGCACCTGTAATCCCAGCTACTTGAGACACTGAGGTAAGAGAATCGCTTGAACCCAGGAGGCGGAGGATGCGGTGAACGGAGATCACGGTGAGCGGAGATCACAGTGAGCGGAGATCACGCCATTGCACTCCAGCCTGGGCAACAAGAGCAAAACTCCATCTCAAAAAAAATAAAATGAAATAAAAGTGAGTTATAAGCCCATTATATAACACATAGAAGGCACTCAAAAATTAGTAACTACTATTATACCTGTAAATAGAAAAATAATAAGGCATCTTCTTCCTTAAACATGGAATGTTTGCTTTTTGGTGTGTATGTTTCCCCCATTTGACTCTATTAACTTGGATTTTGTTTTAACAGCTCAGGTGCCTAAAAGGCCAGAGTGGGTTCTCAGGCCAATCTCCTTTTGATGGAATCCACATTGTCAACCATTTAATAGGAGATGATGAATCATTCCATTCCTCTGATGAAGATTTTATAGATAATCCCTTACGGGAAACTGGTGTTGGTTTTCCTGTGCACGGAAAATCTGGCTCGATGTCTTTGGACCCTGCAGTGGCAGATAGTAGTGTGAGCGAAACAGACAACGGTGTGCTGGAAACCAGAGAGAGCAACCGAGTGGTTCAAAAGGAGCACCCCCCGAGAAGAAAAGAGTCGTATTCAACCACTGTCTGACCATCACTGTGACCTACACTGTGGATTTCTTTAAGGGATCAGTTATCATGTGATTAGGGATTTTTGGAACTATCTGTTTCATATGTACATATATATATAGATAATATATATTATATTTTACAGTCTTACCTGCCTTTTTATCTTTGCCAAATCTTTACCACTGATTTACCATTGCCATAAAGTAGACTGGTATATGGTTAATGTGTAAAACAAAGTTCTAGCAGTATTACTGAATATTAATGTTTCTGGTTTAGAAAATGCAACTATATATGTGGGAACCATTTTGAAGTTCAAAACTATGGAAAATTGAATTTTCTTCAGACAAAACTGCTCTTGTGCAATATTTTATGCTCAGTGAGCAAATTGTATATTTATGTTTATCAAGGTGGCTGTCTACAGACATTTGACCAAGACATACATCTGATCTACCTTGTGTTTTGTTTTTTGTTATTGTCGTTTCCTAAAACAGAGATTCACTCTGTCACCCCAGCTGAAGTGCTGTGGTGTGATCGCAGCTCACTGTAACCTCCGCCTCCCAGGTTCAAGCAATTATCCTGCCTCAGCCTCCTGAGTAGCTGGGAGTACAGGTGCACGACACCATGCCCAGCTAATTTTTTGTATTTTTAACAGAGACAGGGTTTTGCCATGTTGGCCAGGCTGGTCTCGAACTCCTGACCTCATGTGATCCACCCACCTCAGCCTCCCAAAGTACTGGGATTACAGGTGAGCCACCACACCCAGCCTACCTTTTTTGCGTCTGGGAGGTTTTGTTTTTGTTTTTGTTTTTTTCTTTCATGAAAATTACTGGTGGGCCACTGAACACAACCACACACAAAGCCTTTATTCTATATAATTTCATAAACACAAATTCATGGTTATCTGTTTTGAGAGTTTTAAGTTTGGTTTTAATGTTTAACTTTTGTGTGCATATGATGTTTCCATGTGTTGGTTACCAGAGTAGTAGGTTAACTACAGACATAATGTTTATTTGTACGTATTTATAAATCTGTACCACCTAACATTGAACATCATTTTATAGGAAGAACATACATGTTGCAAAATGATTCTTTTGGCATCTAACAGGACTTCTATAATAGGTTAAAAGAAAATTGAAAAATAAAACACTAATATTTTAAGAGCTTTAGTATTTTGCTTAGCATTCAACACTAGCAGATTCATAACTGATGCCTGTTCAAAAACACTATTTGTGAAATCTTTTACTTCATGTGTATGTAACTAAATTTTTCATGATTGAAGAGGTTATAGAACATATTAATGCTAATATTTTACTTAATGTAATTTAAGCAATGGGCTAAGGTCCAAGAAACATAGCAGTTATATCTACAAATAATCTATGAACATGATCTTCAGATTATCTAGTTTTTGTTCTATATATAAAGCCATAAGAATCCTCTCCTACCAGTTTTTCCTTTATCATTTAGATACTGTTTCCTAGAAAACAGTATGCTTGTCATTGATAAATTAGAGAAAGCACCCAAATTACACTTGCACTATGGAAAGACGACATGAAAATGTTGACTGCTTACGTTCTACTCTCGTTTTTGTTAGCCTGTGGGAAAAAACACTTTGTTAACCTATGGAAAAAAGCAGCCTTGGAAGAGAAAAGTAGAATTCAGTATGTATGGAGGCACAGTTTTGCACAGTATGTTGCATGCCGAAAAAAAAACTTATGAAATAGAGTAGAAGACACAAATGTAGTTTTCTGTCAGAAACTAGGAGTTAAGACTTCAGGTACATTGTGGACTAGGCTTTCCAGCAAAGTTTTTGTAGCAGTTTGCTTGCCTGAGAAATGAAATTGTAAACATGACCCCGTGTCTGTCCTTAACACCAGGTTAAATCCTGGTGGTTAATTAATTACCTGTGGTTACAAGATAGTAAGTAGCAGAGCCAAGATTTTTTTTTTGGGTGTCACTGTGTTGTCCAGGCTGGTCTTGAAATCCTGGCCTCAAGCAGTCCTCTTGCCTCAGTCTCCCAAAGTGTGAGGATTACAGGTGTGAGCTACTGTGCCTAGCGAGGGCCAAGATTTTAACCTTGATTTCCCTGACACCAAAGTTTTTGAAAAGGTTCAGATGAAGAATTTCTCAATTCCCTGTTTTGTTTTTGTTTTTGTTTCATTTTGTTTTGAGACTAAGTCATACTTTGTTGCCCAGGCTGGAGTGCAGTGGCGCGGTCTTGGCTCACTGCAACCTCTGCCTCCCAAGTAGCTGAGACTACAGGTGCACACCACCACGGCTAGCTAATTTTTGTATTTTTAGCCTGTCCACTCTGTTGGACAGGCTGATCTCAAACTTCTGACCTCGGGTGATCCACCCACCTTGGCCTCCCAAAGTGCTGCAATTACAGGCGTGAACTACCATGTCCAGCAATTCCCTGCTTTTTTGACAATGTAATTTAAATAGATTTGATTTAAATGTTTCCTGAATATATATACAGATAGATACATGAGTATCAACACATATAAGCTCTATGCAACTTAGGAGTGTAGATACTTGCAGGATTGTCTCGTGCTTTGGGGATTGTCTTTCCGAGTTCTATCAGTCCAAAAGGATATTAAAGCCAAAGTGAAGTGAGATGATTTGTGGCCACATTATTGCCTTGAACCTCACATCAAGAAATCTGAATGATCTAGACCAGGGGTTCGCAAACTGCAGCCTACAAGCTATTGCAGTCAGCTGCCAGTTTTTACTTTTTTAAATAGTTGGGGGGAAAATTCCAAAGGCTAATGTTTTGTGTCACATGAAAATTATATGAAATTTGAATTGCAGTGTCCATAAGTAAAGTTTTACTGGGGCACACCCATGCTCGCCTGTTTACATATTGTGTATGGCTGCTTTGTGCTACGGTAGCAGAGTTGAGTCATTGCAAGGGACACCATATGGCCCAGGTAACCTAAAATATTTACTATCTGATCCTTTACAGAAAAAGTTTGCTAATCTTTGATACAGATACTCTGAAATGCAGGTTTACTTCTTCAGTTTAACTCATTGGTAGGTCAAACTGTTTGCTTTTGCTTTTAAGCTTATGATTTGGAAACATAAAACTTTGTGGTGGATCTTAATACTCAGAACTATTCAAAAGGGAAAACGCGCCAGGCATTTCATATGATGAAGTCTTTTATCCCATAGGAAATTATAGAAAGATATCTGTGTCTTTGGAGAAGGAGAAAGGAAAAAATTCCAGAATCCTATCACTTTAGGGTATCCTTTATTGAGTAAAGGTTATAATTTGACTTTAAAATAAGGAATTTTCTAGAATCATGTTTGAATTCTAAACTATGTACCATTTCTGATTAGGAATTAGGTGTTAAAGGAATCATGGTAAGGAAAGCTTAATCTGTTGAAACTCTTGTAATTTGGACAACAAAAAACTTATATAACACTCTTTTCATTGAAGATCTGATTCAAATACACCTTCGAGGAGCTTAAAATCTTCCAGGCCTTTAGGATACAATAGGATATTATGCCCTGGTTTGACTTCATTTCATTCAAATTAATGTAAGTATGTTGTTCAAGACTTTGAGGCATGAACAATGTTTTTTTGATAAATTTTATTTAATCCCTGACATTTTGTGTTATTTAAATGTTATTAAGTTAAACACTTAGAACTGAGTAATATTCAGGGGGGAAAAATGAATGAAATGACTCATAATAAGAAAGCTTGCTCCCTTGGGATAATTACCTTCCTGGTGTCACTGGCATCCTGGATTGACAAGCTGGGGTAAAGAATACAAATTATATGAATAAAATGGAAATTGCATTGAATTAATGAAACACACTTTTAGATCAAGAAAACACTTCAACTGCCTTTTTAAAAATTGGCACACTCCTGTAGTTTCAGCTACTCAAGAGGCTGAGGCAGGAGGATCACGAGAGTACAGGAGTTTGGGACTGTAGTGTCTAATTATCACACCTGTGAATGAATAACCACTGCACTCTGATCTGGGCAACATGGCAAGACCCTCTTTAAAAAAAGAAAACAAAACTTTTTTTTTTCTTTCTGGGAAAAGAAGTCAAAGATGTAACTTTACACAATTTCTATGCCCACCATCTTTTTTTGTTCTTTTGTTTTTGGCTAGATACTAGGTATTCAGTGTTTGCTGAGATGTCAGGTTTCAACTAATTGGCCAGTTATTTGGGAAGGAGAAGAACTTTTTCTCAGCTCTGAACATGATGCAGCTTGTTAACTCTCCAGATAGTGCCTTTGATTGAAAATAAGGTCTACACCTTTTTAAGTATATTATTTCTGATATCATAAGAAATAATTTGGTTCCTTATTCACATTTATCTTTTATATAATGCACTGTAATATTCAGGTTTAAATTAAAATAAGAATATGAATTATATTTTGATAAAGCTGTTTCATGACCAGCTTGATTAAAGTATATTAATATACCAGACATTGACAGTGAACATTTCACGCAGTTATTATTAAAACAATGAGTTTTAGCTTGAAAGTTATTGCTGCTCTATAATTAACAAAACTAAGTTTAAAAATTTAATTCTACTGAAATTTAATTTCTGGTTAAAGGTATAGTGGATGCTATTTGTGATCCAAGTTTTTATATCACATCCACTGATCTGCCTGTTCCTTCTTTTCACTCCAAAGAGGAGATGACAGAATAATACATTCAATGTATTACCAAGAAGCAAAATTATGATGTGTTTTATTTTACTGTTGGGATTTTTTATTGTAACATTGTATGATAACCTGAAATGTCTACTTATGCCTTTGCTTTAAATAATTAAAGTTTTCCATTTTATAAGAATTTCTGTTTCAGCTTTTCAGCTTTAAAAGAGGAGGGGCATCAAAAAACTGTTAACAAATTAACAGGGTGTGGTGTCTCACGCCTGTAATCCCAGGACTTTCGGAGGCCGAGGCGGGCAGATCACTTGATCTCAGAAGTTCGAGAACAGCCTGGCCAACAAGGTGAAACCCCATCTCTACTTAAAATAGAAAAATTAGCTGGGCATCGTGGCACATGCCTGTAGTCATAGCTACTAGAGTGTCTGAGGCAGGAGAATCACTTGAACCCAGGAGGCAGAGGTTGCAGTGAGCCCTAGTCGCACTACTGCACTCCAACCTGGGTGATGGAGCAAGACTCCATCTCATAAAAAAGAAGGTTGGCCTGATGTGAAATGTTTATTAGCAAGGTTTGTGCTCTGTAGGTACAGGAACTACATCCACCTGGTCCACCCATATACTTTTGGTGCCAAACAGTCTAGTACATGATTGCATTCAGTAAATATGTTTTAATTTAATGAAGGACCATCTTCAGTGAAAAATGTCTAGATTTGTTTCCTTCAGGAACATGGTTAAAATATCAATAGCAGTATTTTCATCTCACATTGTACTTTATTAATTAGCAACTAATTCAATAAATAGATTCAATTATATATAATTTGAGTACACATATACAGACTATTATAAAAGGCAAGTTATACCTTCTGCAT